TCCTCTCAACTCCGCCCGAGCATCGATGGTCCGGATCGCATTTAAGAATGCGGCTACAGAGAAAAAGCAACAGACTGGCATCTGGGCCCGACCGAGGGCTCCGGAGGTATGACGGAGAAAAAGAGGACAGAGGAAGCTGGAGAACAATGCTCCGGTTTCACCGGACTGCGACCGACGAACCCTCTGAGTCTTGGGCGGAGGACGATCCCGCTTTAGGCTTTGGGCTTGACTGCGGCGGGTTCACTCGGCGGGTCTCGGTCCTGGTCGGTCATCCAATCACCCCCTCGAAGAGGGACTTTTAGGTAATGCCAAGATCCTCAGGCGAGTGACCTACTGCAGGGAAGGACCGCCCGGTGTGTGGTTAAAATTATAAATATAATCCTATTACTCAATCGTTGTTCTCTTATCTCGAGTCCCGCTAAATAAGGTGATTTCATCTGGTAATAGCAATTCATGATGGAGAGATTCAGAGAAGACATCCATAATCCTAAATCCAGCACGAGTCACGGTGGAAGTCGGTCGAGTCCGGGGAACCCAGGGACGATTCAATCGTGCAGCGAGCCCAACGGTGGAAGCTTCGGAGGGTTAAATTCTATTTGCAATTTGGCTATAACTCAATTCCCCAAGGTCGAGAGTTGGAGACTTGCTCGACGCTCATTTGGAGTACTTTCTGCCGGACACGATGTACTCCGGACCGCATGGGAGCAAAGGATCGTGATAGCCCCGGGGATTACCCGTTTCGCCGACACATTGGAGATTGACCTCATGCGCAACGCGATACGCAGGTGGCACGTTGGGACTCGTGCTGACCTGCTCTTGCCCTTCTCCTCGGTTCCGCCGTACCCGCTCTAGGAAGGATCGGGCTGCTATCTCCGCGCCACGTCCTGTTCATGTAAGGGGTGGGATGACAAGCTGTTCTTCTTTATCTCTGTGTCTACTCAGCGTACAGTAAAATCCAGTACAATGACCAGATCAGTCCGGGAGGCAATTGACAACCGACTGTTCGTGTGCCGCTCTCCGACCGACTCGAACAAGGTGGCAATTTTTATCGAACCCCGCACGACTTTTGCGGGGGCTTTTTATCTCTTTTTCTTTTTTCTTTTTTCTTTTTTTACTTTTTTTACTTTTTTTTTTTGTCAGATGAAGACGGGGACAATCCGAGCTTGCCACCCCAACCGGGTCCACCGTCACACCGCGAACAAAATGTCGTACCACCAATTGCCCCCTGCTGATTGGGCGAGGGCGGTTAAGCCTTTGCCATTCTGCACTAGGCCCGAGGCAGTAGTCCAGGCCCCACCGGGTGCCTGGCTGGGCTTGGCTGGGCTTGGCCGGGTCTTGATCCATGTGGTTCATCGCCCAAGATAACGCCACGGGATCTTATTAGTCAAGGAAAATCTCTGGATTACACGAGTCCCTGTGGGTGTCCACCGCTGAGCCGGTTCTGCACGCTAACATTAGGGCTACTGCCTTCTTCTTCCTTCTTCGCCTTCTACTGCTCAGTGTGCCCACTCGCTGTGCCTTGGTACTTGCTCGCCCATTTTTATATGTAACCTGCTCTTCGCCCTCCCCCGGATCCCTGGTTTTCTTCTTCTCTTCACTGCTCTTTTTGTCGACTTGTCGCTCCTCCTCGACTTCCTTCCTCCCAGGAACCCGACTCGACTCGACTGGGGAGTAGCCGACCTCCTTCCTCTTCCGCTTTCGTCCACAACCCCACCACGCCTAACTCTTTTTTTTTTTCTCTCTCTCCTCCCTCTCCTCCCTTCTTTCACCATGACCGACATCTCTGAGTATCCGGGTCACAATACCAAGTCCATGGATTTGGATGGCGAGAAGAATGAGAAATTCTCGAATGGACTTCCTCACTATGAGGGTGTCGCCGAGGGCGAGATGAAGATGACCGATGAGGAGCGGAATGTCTACGAGCACGGTGTCCAGAAATTCAACCGTCTCGGCTGGAAACGCCTGACGATCGTCCTCATCGTCGAGGCCATCGCGCTGGGCAGTCTGTCCATTCCCTCCTCCTTCGCCACCCTCGGTATGGTCGCCGGTATCATCTGTACCGTCGGTCTCGGTCTCATCGCCATCTACACCAGTCACGTTATCGGACAGGTGAAGCTGAAATTCCCCCACATCGCCCACTACCCCGACGCCGGTCGCTTGCTCTTTGGCCGCTTCGGCTACATCCTCGTGTACATCATGCTGGGTCTCGAACTCACCTTCCTGACCGGTTCGCACGCCCTCACCGGTACCATCGCCTTCAACACCATCACTGAAAGCGGCGTCTGCTCGGTCGTGTTTGCCGTCGTCTCCGCCATCATCCTCCTGCTGCTCGCCATCCCGCCCAGTTTCACCGAAATGGCCATCCTGGGTTACATTGATTTCGGCTCGATCATCATCGCCATCGGCATCACCATCATCGGCACCGGCATCAACAGCACGAACCAGCCCGGCGGTCTCGCAGCCGTCGACTGGTCCGCCTGGCCCCGGGAAGGTACCACCTTCACCGACGCCTTCATCGCCCTCTCCAACATCATCTTTGCCTACAGTTTCGCCCTCTGCCAGTTCTCCTTCATGGACGAGATGCACACGCCGAAGGACTACGTCAAGTCTATCTGGGCGCTGGGTGTCACCGAGATTGTCATCTACACTCTGACCGGAGCTCTCATCTACGCCTTCGTCGGCCAGGACGTCGGCAGCCCAGCTCTGCTGTCTGCCGGTCACACCCTGAGCAAGGTTGCCTTCGGCCTCGCTCTCCCCGTCATCTTCATTTCCGGATCGATCAACACCGTGGTTTGCGCGCGCATGATCCACGGCAAGATCTACGAGAACTCGCCCATCCGATTTATCAACACCAAGATGGGCTGGCTGACGTGGCTGATTGCCATCACTGTTATCACCATCGTTGCGTTCATCATCGCCGAAGTGATTCCCTTCTTCTCCGACTTGCTCTCCATCTGCTCGTCTCTGTTCGTCTCCGGCTTCACCTTCTACTTCCCCGCCATCATGTGGTTCAAGCTCATCCGCGAGGGCTCCTGGACTTCGCCCAAGAACCTGCTTCTGGGCGCGATGAACCTTCTCGCGTTGGCCATTGGTCTCATCACGCTGGTCGGAGGTACCTACGCCAGTATTGACGATATTGTAAGTTTGGCATTTATTCCCGCGTGGATTGATCCGTTTGCTAACTGCCGTTCCAGATTATGAACTACAATGCCGGCACTGTCCGCGGCGTTTTCAGCTGCCAGAACCCCTCATAATGGCATGATCGCATTTCAAGGTGTTTGAGTATTTTAATGGTTACGACATGTGTGGGACTTTTCGAGGTATTGAAGTCTGAGACTTTCCCGCCCACCTGATGATTTGATTTTCCTCCTGTAGATAGAGCTTGTCACATTCAGCGACATTGTATAGATCAATTGACTGCGCATACTTTCATCTACTTCTCTCCCTTTTCTGTATAAACCACGGAGTATCCTTGGAATTAAGTAGTGGATTCCGGGCCCTTGCATTACGCTGTCTCCGTACGGAGTCCGCACCACCTACCTTACTTACCTAGTGGATGACCGACCGGTAGAATCCAACGGATAGAAAGTCGAAACCCACATCGTCAAAATCTCCCAAGTTAGCATGGCCCGGCTAGCCTGAACTGGTAAAGACCTGGATGAAACGAGGCGAGGTAGGTTTGCGCTAGAAAATTCCACCCGATGGGATCCATGGATTGAGGCGGTTATTAAATTCGATTACGGGTTTCTTGCTGTCAGTTCCGATGCCGAACCAGAAGTAGGGGACTGGAATTTGAGAATTTTGAAACGGGGTTGTCAGGTAGTTGAAGTTTTACTAGTGAAACAAACGAATAGTAGGGATGTTTATTTCATGATCACTGGAGAAAAAAGTTAGATGTGCACTTAGTAAGTTGGTACTTACTGTGGTGTGGCACATCGCGTGATGATAATCCTATTTGGTCAAGTTATTAGGTCTCCGAGTTTCGTCCTACAGTTTATGGTATATTGTTGCTGGTGGTGCTGGTGTCGGTTAGCTTGTTTGGTGATAAGATAGATAATCGAATAATGAGACAGCTAGAAAAATGTTCCGATGCTAGTGCAAGCGACCCGATGTCAAGATAAAAATATTATCAATAGATGTGTGTAACGACTAACGGCGTGGTGGATACGGGATCATGCCACGGACCATCTTGTCTTAACTTCTATTCCGTGTTTTATTCGTTGGTTGAGAGAGGTTCGGGTGTGATGGTCAGATATGAGTGTGAGGGATTGGCGATAGGGAATAATGTTTTGGTACTGTGGGTTGGAGATATAGATAAGGTACGTAGGAATTGGCTTTTTGTAATTTTCTGTATAAAATGTTTTTAGCTTCTGTCTTGTGATAGGTAGAGGGGATTGAGATCTTGTTGTGTATGCAAGGGGCTTGTTTGCTGCGTGTTTCTGTGGGCAACGTGGCCGACGATCTTTTCGAGATAACAGAGGCCGAGAGGATTCCGGTTAGTTTTTTCTTTTCAAAAAGTAGAGGGGGGTTGGCAACTGGGATTCTTTGCATTAGGCCAAATTTGGGGTAGGTTTGGGATATTGTCGGTTTGTCGCGTTTATATATTTCGGATCTCGTTCAATGAGTTGCGTCACTGAGGTTGAACATGGTCAATATATATGAGGAATATGACATGAAAATGGTAAATGTTTTCTTTCGCTGATTGCTATACATGTGTAGTGACTGGTTATTCCATATTCTAAAAGTACCAAAGGTAGAGAGAGATATATTGATACCTAGAGGCCGATGAAAGGAAATGAACAAGATAGGTCCCTTGACACTTAGAGGAAGGTTCTATTAACCATGTCATTTATCACGCGAGGTCCGAGTTATATGAATACGGACTTCTTCGATCAATCAAAGAAACCAAAGTTAGTATATATACCAAACCAAAAACAACCCATCCAACTCCATCGCACCCAACCCCAAAAGACGCTCCAAATCAAATTCAAAACAATCAACTAATCAACAGCAACCAACCCCCTACCCCCCCTCGACACCAAAACAACCTCATGTCCCCCGTCCATCTTCCTCCGAAACCTCTCAAACTGCCATCTCGTCTGCATCCCCCTGGCCCGCCACGCCTGCATCAACCCGTCCGACGAACAATACTCTCTCGCCAACGCCTCAATCTCCTTCTTCCTCCCCTCTACCTCCTTCTCATTTCCCTCCTCCTCAAATCCAACAGCCGCCCACGCCGCGCTCAACGACATCGGCATATAATGCGACCCGAGCGGTCTAAGCACCAGTCCCCGTCTCCCTAGGGCAACGATCTCATCACACAACACATCCAACTCACCCTGGAGATGTCTTCTTGACGAATCCGCTACGAAGCACAAGCGATTCAGCATCGTCGCAACAGAGAGAAACAGTCCGTACGCCGTCTGGTAGTTAATCTGCGAGCGGATCGTTTCCAAGGATGCGGTCGGACTTGCTTGCAGGGTCGGCGAGACGGCGATGGCGCGGAGTTTGGGGAAGTCGGACTGCATTTGGGCGTAGAGGGAGGTGAGTTGAGTGAGGTGGTCTTCCGGGTGGTGGATGAGGCGCGGGATGCGGGCGAAGTTGGGTACCGTGAGCGTGTCGAAGGGCGAGGCGAGTTGGTTGGAGGGTGGGAATCGGGGACCGTGGACGAGGAAGCGGTTGATCACGAGAGTGTCCAGGTGGACGCGGGGGTCGAAGACGCTGTGGACGAGCTGGTGGGAGAAAGAGAGAGGGGAATGGTAAGTTAAATGATTGACTGATTGACAAGGAGGGCTGGGTTGTATGTACCACGGCCATGCAGAGCGTGCGGAGCAGGTGGGTTTGGAAGGTGTCGATGTCGGTTCGACGGGCGACGCTTTTAAGAAGTAAGGCAATAACGTGCGTGTGCATGAGATGACCTTCAGAGTTGCCGGTGATCCAGTCCTGATATTCACTATCACATTAACAGTTCTGTCGATGCGCATGGCTGACGAAGTATGTAGATGGGTCCCAACCGACCTCGGAAATCCACAACAGATAGATCGTGCACAGCGTCTCGATCGCTAGATCCACCGCGCCATCGTGCAGCGACAGACGGAGCATGTACAGCGCCCGTCCGTACTTCTCCAGCGCCAGCGACGAGCTCTCCTGCTTGAACAAACACGGCGCCGAATGTGTCACCGCCGCGACGGCCGCATCCAGCGCCGGATGAACCCCCAGGCGACAGGGCAGGAGCGCAAAGAACGGGCCATAGTAGCCCAGGTTATACCGGGCATCTTTGACCTCGAGCATGGAGATCAGCGAGGCGCGCAGCCTGACTGTCTCGCTGCACAGGGCCCGCGCGGGTGCGCCATGGATGGCCGTAGCCGCGCGTCTCACGATGGCGCGCTGCGGCGGCGCATCACGTGGCGGCGGCGCAGCCTGTGCGACCCAGATCCCTGACACATCGTCTGGCGTGCGATTCTCCGTGAACTTGAATCGTCGAGCGCCACCGCCGACGCAGGGGATCCCCAGACGGAGGCACCGACCGCAGGCAGGTTGTTCCTGGTCGCACTGCCGATGACCGTTAGCGCAAGTCCGCCTTGCCTCGTGTCTTTGTCTACAAAGCCACAACTCCGTTCAACTCGACATACTCGTTTCTTCTGCTTACGACAGGCCTCGCAGCCTCGACTAGTCGGGACTCCGGGCATGGTGATCTTCCTGGTGGTGAGTCATTTGGGCCAGGGAGGTTGCGAAGGTTGAGATCTTGTGGATTTTCTCCCCCCCCTTTGTGAGGAAGGAATTGGCGTTGGAATAAGTGTCTAGGCTGTGGCCCCGACTCCGCTTGGCGTTGGCAGTCTGGCTCGGCCCCCGCTTTGGCTTCGTCGAAGATACTGCTTCTATCCAAGTGTGGCGGAAGTTTCGCCTCATGATTCAGGCTTTCATTTATCGGCAGGTCAGCCCGAGTCGCTGTTGTGATAGATCGACTGGCCTTCAAATTCAACTCTTCTGAATATTGATTGCCTCTGTTGAGGGCACTCTTCCCGAAAGGCTCCCAGATCCCAACTCCCTCTGAGACATGTTGACAAAAGAAGGATTCGCATGATCTCCACACGAGTCATGAAAGTTAAGCTCACGATAGGCTGATTCGCAGGCTTATCGGAGATAACTCCCCCCTGGACCCCGCCGGGGAGGGCCCGGAAATCCCCCTTCGTGGATGCCTGAGGCAATAAGGATCACCGTCACTGGTAGTAGTCACTACTCCGTGAGGAGTACCGAGTACTTGAATACAATTCGATCAACAATCACTGACAGATATACTGATCGGATCGCATTACACAGTATAGGCGCCCACCCGGCGGCTACTGTTGGTTCTAGACCTGCATTCGCATCGGTCCGAAGAATTATCTCCGTGAGCGGACGCCGGTCGGAGTTAAACGTGATGTCACCAAATCCTTCATCTCGTATGGGAAGATGGAACTATAAATACCTCCATGATCGCAGCGAGATCAAGTCAAAACAAACACTACAATCAATTCTGCTCAATTGACTTCCTCATTCCATTCCTCTCAAACCAAAATGTCCAACCGTCCCAAAATCGTCATCTTCGGCGCCACCGGCCAACAAGGCCGCTCGATCGTCAACGCCCTACACACTCATCCTCTCGTATCCCAGCAATATTTTTTGCGTGCCATAACCCGTAACACAAACAGCCCTTCTGCGCTCTCCATCGCCTCACAAGGCATCGAGACCGTCTCCGCGGACATGAACGACCCGTCTACTCTCCCCGCGGCCCTGGAAAACGCTCACACCGTCATCCTCATAACCCTAACCGTCTACACTCCAGACCTAAAGGCACTTGAATATAAGCAGACCAAAGACGTCGCAGACGCTGCCGTCGCAGCCGGCGCAAAACATATCATTTACAGCGCGGCCGTGGACAGCTTGAACATATGGACTGCGAATGCCCGCGCGGGCATGAAACCCCGGCCCGTGGACGCATTCGACTCGAAAGCCGAAGCGGAGGATTATCTGCGCACATTACCAATTAAATCTACATATTTCGCGCCGGGGGGTTTCATGCAGAACTTCGTGACATTTTTTGCGCCCAGGAAACAAGACGATGGGAGCTATATGATTGCGAACGTGATGGACAAGGATGCTAAGATCCCGTTGATTGATATTGATGGTGATTCGGGGACTTACGTGTCGAAATTGCTGGTGGATGGCAGCGCAGGAGAGACGCTGTATGCTGCCGGGGGCTTGTATAGTTTCGAGGAGATCGTGGGGATTATATCCCGTGTGTCGGGCAAGAATGTCAAGTATGTGCAGGTGCCGGAGGACGTGTTTGCTGGGTTCATGCAGCCGGAACAAGGGATGAGGACGGTGAATATGATGAAATTCGTTGAGGAGGTGGGGTATTTTGGACCTAGGACGGAGGCGTTGGTTGAGGAGGGTCAGAAGAGAGTGGATGGGAAGGTGACGAGGTTTGAGGAGTTTGCAGAGAAGTATTTGGTTGATATTTAGGGTATGGGTGGTGATGCTTGATAGTAATGTTTTCTAGTTGCTGTTTTGAGATTGTGCAGAACAGATTAGGGAAAAGATCTAGAGTCAGCCTTCAATGTACATAGCTTTCACTTTTTCCTGCCGATAGATGAGTATAATTTGATCAAACGTGATAGGAAATTATATTAATAAAAGGACCGTCTATAGCCTGACTAAGGTCTTGGTTCTCGTGTTGAATCATAAATGCTGGATTAATCAGAAGTCAAGTGCGGAGGAACTACAACCAAGAATGTCGCCGAGTCTCTACGTCACCCGGCATTCCGCGATTTGTCAGCGGGGCGATTTTTGGCTTTCGATAAAGGCCGATGCAATCACCGACGCAATCACCGATCAACTTCGCACCTATTTATAATACGACACTCTGCTCTGCTTCTTTCTCCCAATTCTATGTCGCATATAATTAAACGCATTCCAGTCCTGACATCTGCAGTTCGTTCCCCTCGCCCAGCATCTGTATTAACTCGCACAATGACGACCGGCACCTTCAAATACATTGACCCCGCCTCCTACGATCCCCATGCCACCGAGCCATTCAAAAAGCCATGGGGCAAGGTCGACGGGCCAGGCTCTTCCTTCAAACTGCTAGACAAGTCCCGGTCCGTGGAGAACCTCCGCGGTCAAGAGAGTCAATTCTCGACCGACAACAGCGGATTCGCCGTCTATAACAGCCCCGCACAAGAGAAACAGTTCACAGACCTGTCCGTCGTAACGACGAAATACTACCATGAAGTGGAGGAGCTCCTCCGATCCAAGCTCCCGGGTATCAAGAAAGTCGTCATCTTCGACCACACGATCCGGCGACGACAAGAAGGGTCCGCGCGCGCTCCCGTGCAGCTCGTCCACGTAGACCAAACGCCGTCTGCGGCGGAAGTGCGCGTGCGTCGACACGTCCCCTCCGACGAGGCAGAGGATCTGTTGAAGGGACGCTATCAAATCATCAACGTCTGGCGACCCATCCAGAACCTGGCGTCCGATTTCCCGCTGGCGGTCATCGATTGGCGATCTTCTGATGCGTCCGATTTCGTAAAAGTCGATCTACTCTATCCCAACGAGACCGCCGATGCAGCAGCGGGAGAGGAACGAGCGCAGAAGCCGGACTCGGGAGACTCGACGGAGGGCTACACGGTCAAGGGCGAGACGTATTCGATCGCGCCGAATGAGAAACATCGCTTTTACTATATGAAGGATATGACGCCTGAGGAGGTCATGTTTATCAAGTGTTTCGACTCGAGGAGCAGTCTTATGACTGAGGGGAAGACGGATATTGCGCACGGGGCGGCTCATACGGCGTTTGTGGATCCTCAGACACCGAAGGAGGCGCCGCCGAGGCAGAGTATCGAGGTTAGATGTTTGGTTTTCTATGAGTAGGAGAAGGGGTTGACTATCCGTAATTATTCTTGAATTTGAAACGATGTGTATCGGTAAGGATGTTCGCAGTAGATAATGGTAAAAAATCTATCGGGCCATGGAATGATTCGTGCAGAAGACGGTGCAAGTTAAAGGTAGTATTTCTTTAGGGAAGTGGTTTGCTTCGGGTTAACTTGAGACCCTTGCGGCTGAGTGTGGTTTATATAACGTTATTATAAGAATAAAAATCAGTTTATTGACTATATAATTCTACTTCCTGGGGCAACCTTTTTAGTGCCTGATTTATTTTACTTGTCAACACTTTCCCTCTTAGCTATTATAGAATTTAAATGCTTAATCAAGGTCTCATAGTGATATCTTATAAAAATATAAAAGATTATATAAAGAAAAAAATGTTTAATATTGACTTTTAAGGTATTTCCGCGAATGCCAGGATTCGAAAATGAGCAATATTATGACGCGTAGCTGCGATCTCGCATGGCGACTTCAAAGCTTGGATATTACTCGCTTGGGTGTCACAGATAATGTTGTCTCAATTGCTGTTTTACCTAATTACAACGCATCCTAGTTCTCAGTGTTTCGTAACGTTAATCTCATCTCTCAAATGAGTAATATCGTTTCGGCAGCAGATGTGTTCCGCTGAATCTCGGTCTCATTCGTAGAGAGATCTGCACCAACTGCATGCTTGCCTCTGACCTGTTATCATATCACCTTAAAAGCTACACTGACGTCTTTAGTACATACCGTGCGATAACATCATTCTGATAGTGTTGGATATCGAGTTCAGCATACTATCCAAAGCGGGGCACTCGTTACACCATGATTCTGCTAAATGTGATACAGTCAGCGGAAAGTTTGTTTCTCGACTGCTGATCTTCCGCATATTTATCATTCGCATGGCAGTCTTCCTTGTGGCTTTCAGATGCAGTAGATGACTTATTAACGGTGACCGTTTCTGACTAACCCAGTCTATACTCTTTGTCCGCCTCTAGTCGAGAATAAAACCTGAAGGTAGTAATTTTTACAATGAGAACCCGAACGGGGAGCAAAGCCTGGTCGACAACAAAATTTCTAGGTAATACATTTTATTATAAAGATAACAGCCCAAGCTCGTCCACACAACTTGGTATAAGAAATAGTTACTCGCAAGTTATTCTTTGTGGCCTTCCAATCACTGAAACACTTTACCCTATCTACAACTGCCTTAATACCCATATTACAAACGCTCATCATGGCTTCTGATCACGATCAAGTCCGCGCAGGTATTTTGATCCACCAATTTTATATAGCCAAACCGGGACTGATTCTTCTCAGGTTTCGTTGTTGCTATATCCGAAGAGGAAAGCAAAGAAAGTGAACAAAGAGTATTACTTATAAAACAGCTTGAAAATGTCTATTCCTTGCCTGATGATGTCTCCGTACGACCGGAAGCATTCCCACCGATTCATTGGGGATTCGGACCAGTCAGAGTACGTTGAAACTGTTCCTTCAAAGTAGCCAAAATTGATTCTTAACAGGTGAATGGTTACGTCAATCCGTCGAAATTGTCAATTCGTGTCGAAGTATCTGTCTTTGGAGCGAAGCTTGTCAATATCACAGCTGACCTGAAGCGTGGTGTATGCGCAAAAATAAATTTGAAACTTGCAAACGGGAGCATTTGCTTTAACCTCAAAAACGGCAAAGGTAATATGGCGCTGAAACTAGTTGTACTCTGTTACTAACTACTGCCAAACAGAGGTGTGGGTTAAGCTGCAGTTGCATGTCAAGTTTGACGGTAATTTCAACAAAGAAGAAAAGCTCTTGACCATATAATGGGGTCTATGAATAGCAATTATAGTCGGGCTGCAATTACCCGGCTACATTAAGCAATATTCAAGTGGCATAGGGGTTCAACACCTCGCTATTCTCGGGTTTCCTTGAAGTCATACTATTGATACGCAAAAAAATGATAGAATAACTTCTACATAGAATTTATTCAAATAAGCCCGAAGGTACCAGTGTTTATTCACTGGTTGAAGGTGTGTGTGTGTGTGTGTGTGTGTGAAGCTAGCGCTATAAATCAACTATCAATAGTTGAGCTATTGTCCTTAGTAGCAGCACGGATGACTCCATTAAACGGCATGGTGGCATACACCGAAATTCAATTTTGCGTAGCGCTATGCCTCGCTTTCGCTACATCAACTTGGGATAAACTATCTGCGCTGGTGTCAAGGCCGGCCCAGTATTTTTGCTTTAGTATGAACTTTTCCCTCCACCGTAACTCTCTAGTGTGGCAATTTTTGGCCGTTGATGGGCGGATATATCCTGGCTTGTCTTGGTTATGCCCTGCAGGGCTGTTCCCGGTTTGCCGGTTTGCCGATTTTGACGATACTATATCGGCAAACATTGACGATATCGTCAAACCGTCAAGATTATGTGTTCAGTATTTTGCTATCGTGCAGTGTAACGAACGGCTACGCAGGCAATAAGGAATCGCGAGAATGTAGGGTATGCATTCAACGAAGAAACTAAGCTAGGTTGTGAAGCTATTCAGGAGCTGGTCACAGTATGTGTGGAACGGCTCTGAAGCTAGTTGTTACCTCCTGAAGCCAGGGGGCTTTCCTGTACGGGAGAACGTTCCGGAGGATCAAGGGATCCTCTGCGGCAGGCATCCAGGAACATTCCTAGGGATCCTGCAGGCATTCCTGCCTGAGGCAAGCTCCAGGCAGTATATAGAGTCCCTGGGTTCTCTCTCCTAGATAGCCTTTTCCTCCCTATGGGAAAATTCTTTGACTACGAGTCATAAACAAACTTGTCTTTTACTAAGCTCCTTTGTAGACCGTCACACTAGTCCCCATCGGGTAGTTAGGTTATAGGGTATCACGAAGGAAGGTCTTCGGAGGCTGGTCACAGTCCGTGACATATTCATTATACGACTAGATTAGGCAAAGATCAGCATGGGAAAGTGAGATCATGTGATATTTAACGATAATAGTATCGGCACCTGAGGACTTTGACGATACTATTTGATAGGGGTCGGCAAGAATAACGAATAAATTCGCATTCGTAACGAATATTCGTATTCGCAGAAATTTTGCACTACGAATGCGAATGCAAATAATTTTTTTTATTATTCGTCGAATATTCGAAATTTTAGTCACGTGGTAGGCACATGACTCTTAAAGACTTTTAAACAATGTTTACTGACCTCTAAACGAATCTATTTATATGGTTTGAGGGAATCTCCGACTATCCGCTGAAATAATCACTGTAGAATCTCTTGAACTCATTAGATACCTTACAAAGCAAGTTCTTGCTCACTGCTAAATGGGCTGTTACTTACTCTTCTCAAGGTTCTGTTGCTTGGCACCCTGGTCTATTTTTGTGGCCGGCAAGCCTAGTGAGTGCTTCAACGGGTAGTGCGTATGTAAAGTCTTCTTGACTGTCTGAATGACCTTTGATGCTGTCATATGTCCAAGTTCCTTTTCCAGCAACAGTATCTTAAAACGCGGATCAAGCATAAGCGCTATATAATATGCATCTTGCGAGTCCATAAGCTCATAATATTTCTTGTACTTCTTCACGCCTACAGATACAGCAGCGGCTATATCTGAACTAATGCCTGCAAATTCGCCTTGTGCAGAAGCTGCCTCTTCAAGTATATCATGCAATTCATAATAAATCGAAATCGCTAGACTAATTTGTGATTGTCGCCGGGAAACGAGCTGGGTAAACTCATCAAATTTGGATAGAACCAGCTCAAGCTGTTGCAGCTGAGACCAGTCTTCCGAAGAAAACGGTGAGAACTGGTTCTGATGTTCTATCCACTTCTTGATCTGTGGCCTGGCCTGGAAGGCGTCTTGGATCATGCGGTATGTAGAGTTCCAGCGGGTTTCAACATCATATTCAATGAACTTGTCCCTTAAGTCATTTGATCGACATACTACTTTCCATTGCTGTCGTCGCTGCGGCGTTCTAGATATCCAGAGTGCCATGATGCGAAACCGAGCTAGTGCAGAGTGTCGTCCCATTTTCTTGTTTTCATGCAATAGGTTACAGGCTTCTGCAGCAGATCTGTAGTCTCCGGATTTTATTGCTGAGAGAATATCACTCACAATAAGATTGAGAACATGCGCTAGACAACGGATATAGCTATTAATGCCTAGAAATCTTAGACATCTACTGTATGAGGCGTCGAAGCTATCTGAAGGATATTTCTCTGAGAGGTTGAAATAGAGTTCAGATGCCAGTGCTTCATTATTCGAGGCATTATCGGCAGTAATAGTGAGCAACTTATCCTCCAGTTAAAGCTCAGAAAGCATATTCCGAAGCATTTCTACCATGTTCTCTTCACTATATGACCTAGAAATCTCATTGAACTCTAGGACTCGTTCTCGATATTCAAAGTTTTGAGTCAACCAGTGACCAATAACTCCTAATATAGATTTATGATTCTTGCTGGTCCATATATCCAGAGAAAGAGCAATTGTTGAGCAAATTTGCGCAAGTTCATCAATTAGTTGAGCCCGATACTAGTCGAAATCCGAGTTAATACGTCGGGCAATGGTACGAGATAAGCTGAATGGGAGCGGAACATCTGGCAAATCCGTAAATATCTGTTAAAATGCAGGAGATTCAATTGCTGTAAAAGCTATATTATCTCTTACAATCTACTGAAGAATATTCTGTTCTAAAAGATCTCTTATATCCTGTTCAACTCTGTTTCGGAATATGGAAGCGAAAGAAGGCTATTTTGTTGTACAGGACTCTCTATCTTGATCTCGCTCGCCGGTTTTTTTTTTACCAATATTGTGCTTGGCTAGGTAGGCCTTCATGTTGGTTGTAAAAATTGCTCTTGCAGAGACTGTTGTTTTCCAATCACACCGTGTACATTGGATTTTTCGGTCCTCTAGTAGCTGTTTGCTTCGTTTGGGCCGCCATAGTTTTCCTGGAAGTGACTTGATATCGAATTGGCTCCAGAGCCATTGATTTGTAGTTTAATGCTGGATTTGCTGACTGACTTATAGGACTGTAGAGCCTCGGAGAAGTTTCTTGTAGAATTCCCTTGCGGGAAGGATTCTGATGGAGTAGGCAAATTTAGATAAACTTAGCTAGCGGACTCTTCTGGATCTACTGACTCCGAGTGATCAGATAGTAGATTAAGTCGTGATTTCTTTATGACGCGATCTTCGACGTCTGCCTCCTCGTCGCTTCCATCGTTCAAAAGGTGGTAGTCTATTCTCTGAGAGCGTTGCGGACGTAACAGTATATTTGCAGATAAGTAACTGGAACTGTCACTTCTGGGAGTATCAGATTCGTTTTCAGACATGTTAAAGGACCCAATAATCTAATTCACGAAGAGTATGCGGACAAGGTAAACATCACTTCGTCGCGTCCTGAAGATATAAACAAATGAGACGCGATGCAGGCCTGTCATTGGTTGTATTGATTACTAATATTGTTTTGGCAAATTTACGAATATATTCGTACGAATATGGGTCCTGAGAATTCAAATATTCGTAGAGATTTGCAAATTACGAATGCGAATGCGAATATCTCAAAATCCTACGGATTTGTATTCGTGCCGACCCCTACTATTTGACGATCAAGATAGTCAAGCTTTGAATTTGACGGTACTACTGGCGATATTCGAAAATCATGACTATATAGTATCGTGAACAGCCCTAATGCCCTGATCATGTCGTCTCTTAGATTGTTCATAGATGTTCTCGCACTCACCGAAGCTGTATTACCTTTACCCGCGTTCAGCTACACTTGAGGCTTTCCCTCCTCTATGTTAGCTTCTTCATCTCCCTCCTTTGAAACTTCCACTAATAACAGTCCCTAGAGCCATAGACCTTGGTAGACGTTTCCTTCGTAATCTCTCGGGTAGTGCTATTTATTAGGCTACGTCACACATCTTCCATCGTGCTACCTAGTTCATCTTGTTTAATATGTCTATTCTAGGGCCTCGTATGCATACGATATCATCCCATCCAGACTCTGTCAGCTAGTTACTAAGACACACTAGGAAGCCCACATCAGGTGTCACATTACAATGCTTTCCCTCCTGAATGATGGTCATTATAACAGAGATCCCTACAAAGTAGAAGTGTTACAGTAGAATGCAAGTGTATTCATTCCGTTAACCCGTCGTACGAAGCGCATAATAATGCATTCCAAAAAAAAAAGAAAGAAAGAAAACGGGCATGTTGCAGAAGATAACATGCCTTGTAGTACCTGGGTTCGAAATCAACCGTGACGGCATACTTATGAGAAGATCCAATCACTGCAACAGGAGGTCCACCTAGAGCTATACAAGTATGAATCATAAACTGGACTGATCTAGTATTTACGTTACACAGTTGCTGTCATCGCATGTCGTATCAACTAATTCCTGGAGCTTTTTGTCTGCCTGGTTCGAAGCTCCCACCGAGTACGAGAGCTCCGTCCTTGACTCGCCCCTCACCCTGTAACACAAACCCTAGAATACGAGGCTTCAGCTCCCTGCTAGATATTAATGCCGCCATATTTCTTAGACATTGAATCTCATCATCATCATTCCCCTTGCATCAGATCACTACGAGATCGAGAAAGTTTGAACCCAACTAAGCAATTGCCACACCAATCTATACATTCAAATTTGTCAATAATGTCTCCATTCACCCTCGGCAATTCCCGAAGCTCATTAACCATTCCACTATTGACATATGCTACAATTGTCGTAGCATTGTTTGCTGTTAGTCCTCTTGCGTCGCCATTATCTGTCGACGTGTCTATTTCCCTCGATGGTGAGAACCCAGAAAACCACCCGATCCCCATAAGTGTGTCTACGGGAACAGAAGACGCGCTTTTGTCGAATATAGACCACCCATCGATGCAACACGACTTGCAGCTCCCCTGGATATTCGACACCTATGCTGCAAATCAAGTGTGTTTGCCGTCGAACGATCCACATTATCAAAAAGGGCAAGTACACCAGACAGGCACTCATGAGAGTCATTGCGGGGGTATTACCGGAACTCCGAATAGATTCTCATTTACTGGTAACGGAATATGGAGGCTACAATTGTTTTGGGACTATGTCTGTCACGGGCATAAGGTGGAAATAGACCACACCGTGAATTGCATCCCACTCAATTCAAGACCACTTACTTATCGGGTAGTATCGCAGTGGAGTGATAGCAATTCAGACACGGCCTTTGGAGAATGTATGGAGCTATAGTTTATGTTGTAGTTGCTACCTCTCATGATTGATATTCTAGTCCCGTCTTTGCATTTTTCAATGTTTCTTTTTTTGGGCCCAATGAAGAGAGAGCTGGATGTGATCATGCTGCATACTGTGACTGCAAGACTCTCATGATGGCTCAACTCGTTTGATTGTTTGTTCCGTCTGTTACTGATTTCGCGCGGGTTATCAAATTTACTGTTTCTTCACCTTCCCTCATGCTTTAAATTTGTTCTCGATAGCACCAAATTGAATCAAATTCATTCGTTTACTTGGCTTTGGCTTTGAGACTGTTATTAGTGCGAGGAGAATTGAAAAAGTCGCATTTTGCCGAATTAGATTCTTCCCCCTATTCGTGAATCGTCCATAGTGTTCCATTGATGAACCCCGGGCGTCTCCTTTATTACATATAACGGGCGTTGGCTGGGTCAGTCGTGGCTTCTCCCATTACAAATATACCATGGTCTGTACCTTCTGTACAGAGCCTGCATTGTCTGGTGGCGGACAGAACTGCTTTGATACAATACAAAGCTTTAAGCATAACCTCGTTACCGTCCATGTAGTCAAAGAAATATTCGTCCATTCGCACGGGACACAGGATATCGAGACGTCATCCTTTCCCTTGGTGTGGACTGCAGAACTCCATTGTGATGCACATATCAACGATGCGACCGACAAATGTTCTATGTGCACGGAACATATTAATAACGCCCAGGACCTTAATGAGCACATAAATGTGCGTCTTGTGCAGGTGGTACGCACCCGCGAGGCGCTTGTCAGGAACCTCAATGCTGAAACTCTAATTCGTGGTGAAGAATGATTGTATTGTCACTGAAAAAAGCTCTCTGTGTTGCGTTGAAAAGTTCATAGGTTATTTAGTATACTTTGATCTGCTTCATTCAGCCTTAATATGTTAAGTAAAGTAGATCCCTATTAAATTTTTTATAGATTTTTCTTTTGATGTCAGAAGTATGGTTAGAATAGTATCACGGTACCGGGCCACTGATGATAGCCGCGAATTTGATGGACCCAAATCCTGTTCAACACCCCCCTTATTCGCGCCCTGCTTATCGACGGTATCGAGGCCCTTCGGATCCAGCCACCCCTCCTG